GGTCGCAAGGTTCCCATACTGGTAAGTACAACTACTCAAGTACTGGTTCAATTTATTAATTCGACGTCCATTCTTCCATTCATAAGCTTCAAGGCAGTACATTCACTTCTTTACGAACTATCAAGGGCTGCGCGGCTTCTAACCCTAGAGATTCATTCCATCTATTTAATCTCCTATGACCTTTCAACAACCGGTAGTTATAAAAAGCCCAGAAAAAGATCTAAGTATAACGCCATACGTTTCCCCAAATCAACCACCTGTTACCCCAATTTAATGTAAATCTTGACAATCTTTCTCTATTACCTTACAATACTAACTAATATTAATAGTATCCCAGCTTAAGGAAACAACTCTAGTATATCATATCTTTATATACATACCTCATGTTCTATTAAATAAGTAATCAACTTCGTATTACGAAACTAAGTGGGGATTACGCTACTATAAGGATAATCCGCTGTATTCAGGGAGAGATAGAGCTTCCATAATTCGGAGGTGGTTCCAATACACCACATTCTATCTAAGGAGAAAGCAAAACCGTCAATAAAAAGGCGCACGTCTATAGCACACCAGGGCTCTTAAAGCCAGAAATCGCATAATAGTAACGTAATCGACGAACCCCTTTCTATAAATCGCCCTTAAACATTAAACATTCCTCTGCCACTAAAGAGGGTTAAACCTCCTAGAAGCCACTACAATCTAGCAATCTAGCCCGCTCTAGCTATTCCCGAGGATGTCATACACAAAAGACCTCATCTGTCTGGAGTCTTCTTTATGCACCACATACTTTATGTGTTCGTACACCCGGAGTTTTGTACCGCCTTTGGTCATATTAATAGCGTTACATGACCAATTGATCTCTTCAAGAGACATCCCAATGCTCTATATATCATCAGAGCCCATTCTCTTACACAGTCAATGTGGTGGTCGAGCTGGTGGGATTGGGTTGGTGTAGTGGTTTGTGTATGATGATGCCTTCTCCTTCCTGCTTAGCAACCATGTTGACTGTAGCCTTTTGGTTCGAATCCCGCTCCATGTGACTTTTTGTTCTATTTTTTGAATCCTTCTCTCTGAAGTGACCAGCGGTACATAGGTTCTAATCCACCCTGGCGATTGCTTTGGGTATTTGAAGTTTTGGACTTCCTTCGCCTTTCTGCATCACGGGAGTTCTACCAATAATCAAGCGATATGGTCGGTCTTTCACCCGTTCAGCCTCAAAATAAACCTCAGAACACAGTACATTAGAAACCAGTAACCTCAGCAGGTTCGTTGCCCCCGAGTTCTGGATGTCGTAAGCTGTTAGTAATGGCAACCAACCTTACCTACCACGAAGATCGACAATCAAGATATCATCAGGGTGCATACTATTCTGTAAATGAACTCATACAGTGCCTGGAATCTTACGTTCGGTGTAGCCGGCAGTTAGGCATCGTGCTTCGTATGACTCAAATGAGGAGTAATAGCAACTTCAGATGCATATTGTCCTCGTTCTACGATATTCATTTCCTCTTATGCAAGCCAAGCATTAACTAATGGAGTCTTATTAGTCTATTACCACCTAGACTGCCATACTTACGTGGACTGAGGTATGGCTCACAGAAAGCTCTGGAAGCGAACATCCCAGTTCTCTCAGTCTTTCACCCAAGAGCCTAAAAGATCGACGACGTTATCAGATATGTATAGGCTTGCTGGCAGGGGCGGTGAATTTCTTACCGACCGCCCCCCGAGTTAGTACGTCGAGTTGATGATTCCAAGCATAATGCCAGTCCCCCGCCAGACCTTGACCATCGGTAACTGACGTAGAACTGCTACCTTGATCTGATTTTAGCTGCTTTATTGTCTGTTATTTGAACACTGGGCTTACTTGTGTAAAGCCCTAAAGACCGCTACAGACTATTTCCTAACTATAACAGTCCTACCTGACCTGGTTGAACACGAGACTGTCAAGCTTGCTAGTCGTTCTGTATGAGTGAAGGCTTTGTTTAATTCGGTTATATTAAAGTTCGTTGCCTTTTTATAAGATTATTCTAAGTGACGATTATATGGACCTGTAATAATGGTGAGTACAGCAGCACCCATCACCCGATCGCAAAGAATCCAACAATCCTGTGTTGAAACCGGAAGGGAAGCTGACTCTGACTTAGGGCTAACTTGAAGCAAACCTGTCTCTTTGTCTGAATTAGGTTCAAACTGGTAGTGTTAAATATTCAGGGCTTCTAGCTTCTATTGATCCAACGGCTGTTATGTGCGCTGGCTTTCTTCAGTTCCGCAACGGGCTTTGGGAATACTTTCCGCTATCACTTAAAACCGGTAGCTCAAAGTCCCGACGTGAATCTCAGCGAAGACTGAACCAACACCCTATCTGTAAAAAGCTCACCCATCAAGGTGGTATAGCCTATCATCTAGTCGAAGAAGACCTCTTCTAACTCGGTCGCAATCTTGTGGCCATCTGCTTTGGCTCTCTTACCGCGGATCTTAATGTTTATCCTCTAGAGGATATACGCAAGGCTAGGCCTGGCAAGTTGCAGATGGTATTTCAAAATGGCAATAATTTAGTCCCACTGGTTCAGGCAGCCTTTTAAGTTTCGGGCACTTCATTTAACGATTAAGAGTTTCACGCTTAATACAAAGATTCACCACAACCTAGACAGCCTCAATCTTTCTCTCAAGTATTTAACTGTCTGTCTGACGGTCAGTCTGATATCACAAAGTGTTAGTAAACCTCATGCGTTTTGAGACATACACATTGATATCAGGCTCCATATAAACTACTTCCTCGCGCTGTGCCTGATATTCGATGCCCCAGGGGGAACGGTTGCGAGAGTAGTCTTTGCGGTGCTCTTTCATAACCTGCTTGTCTCGTTGCGGCTCCTTTGTGCGGATTTGACTACAGATCTGCAAGATCTGTTCCTCATCCTTCTTGACCTTCCTTACCTGTGCTTGTTGCTCCTCGAGCGCAGCGATCTCCCGGTCTCGTGCCAAGTCAGCTCATACTTCATCAGGTACCATGTCTGCAATGGTGTGGGAATCACGCATCAGGTAAACTTGCATAAATAATCGAAGAAGCTGGCTTTTCTTCTTTTCTTCTAAAAAGACAATCACCTGATCCGGGAGACGTATGAACATGGCCATCTCTTCCTTGGACGAGCTCTTGGAAAGCAAGCCCTCAACACACTTCGGTCCGGGCTGATTAGACGTTTGAGGGTCATAGTGCGGTTCTTATAAAGGTAGCAGTCATATCCAAGACTCGTATCGTGGCTAGAGAAACCAGAGACATTAGCCATACGCAGGATCACACCTTCGAAGGGCATGTAACTGGCGGCCGTTATGGGTGTAACGACGGAGTCATGTCGACGAGGGGGTCTCCTACAAAACCGAGGTATATGGCTGCCTCCAGAATTTCCATTCTCCCACTCCCTTGCCGGCAGTAGCGGCACCAGTATGGATACGCTAATTATCCTCAAAGTCCTCGCGTAGTTATATTCCTACTCTAGCACTCAAGATCCTTCACTCGCCTGCTCTCATCTGGACTAATGTCCCGGCGTCATATTGAGGACGGTTCAATAGATCTTACCTTCAAGAAATGTGGAGAGTCTAGTTATGTGCTTTTTTAAATTATTAAGACTCTTGCGGCTATAATAGACTGTAGAAAGTTATTGAGTGATCGCTAATTCCCAACAAGGCTGAAGGTGGGTTCAGCTTTTCTTCCATATGGCTAAGGTTTCGTGACCGCCTGGCCTGTCAGCATAACTATTGTCAAATGGAGCGGGTGAGACCATCAGAACGTGACGTGGTACCGGATAGACAAACACGGGATAGCATCTAACAAGACGTCAATCTGCATATCTCCAGTCGTGAATAACTAGTGTCCAGAACATCAAGGGAGATATTTCGTAATCCACATCATCCATCGAAGTTCCCAATAGATGGGGAAAATCCCAGAGCATTCGATCAAGCAATCGAACATTAACCTACGGAGCGGAATGAGAATACTATACGCTTTGACGGCACCGTAAAGGGTACATGACCTGGCGAAGGACTAGATCTTTTTAGAAGGCAGTAGACCTTCTCTCGACGGGGTCATTATACTTCTCTATGTTCTTCTTGTCGAGTATGTCTTCTGTCTTCTTGTGTATTGTACTTAAAAAGAAGGTCATGATCTCCAGGCCCTACCTGATGTACGTCGACTTCCCCACAAGGCCACAGTACTTAGACAGTTTCACGGGGACGCTCAGAAACTTCTCGATCTGCTCCTCCTAGGGGGTTTCGTTAGTTGCCGGCTGCCCCGTAGTCGTCAACAACGACTCGAAGGATTCTTTGACGAATTCGTTATTTTCGCAGTGGTTGTCCGACACCGTCAGGGTTCACTACGACAACAAGCACAAGTTAACAATTGTTTCGATAGGGGCATCGTCGGACGAGATATTGAGCGACTCCATCAATTGTTCGGTGAATCGGTGAACATGTCTTCTGCTGTTAGTATCTTCTCCTACAACAACACGGCACTCATAAGCAGGATGTCTGTTAAATCTCCTACGGGGGTATCAAAGGGAAGATAGACCGGCTCGATTCACAGGGAGTACCTCTTCTAGACGCATTGTACATCCGGTAGTTTAAGAACATTAACAGCTACTTCACCCAGATTAGCATCAAGATCAACTATAAAATATCGACATTCGCGGAGAAGATCAATTCCAAGCTCGTAGAATATGTCCCGAACGAAGGAGATATTAGACGACAGCTACAACAACGCGCAGACATACAACTCTGAGGGAGACGACAGCCCCTTCATAGAGTAAGACAGGACCGTGAAGAAGAGGATTAACAACAAGCGCCCCATGAAGCACAAGGCGAAGGTCACGGGGCAGCGGATAGGTTGAGATGACGACGACGAGATCGACCCCACCGGCAAGGTGGTCAGCCAGTAGATCATCGTGATCGACAACATCAAGAAGGACGCGTCGAGGATTATGGTAGTGTGGAGGCAGGCTGGGGCCGAGATGGAGGCGTTGACCAAGAACGTTGCGAACATGACGACAATATTGTCCGCCAAGACTTCCGTGTCTTACGAGGCTGTGGAGGACACCATAAGCCTGATCGAGGAGTATAGGATAATGTACGCTGGAAGATCGGAGCAAGACATCACAGCACCTGACCAGGACCAAACTACGGCATATACCGAAATCAAGCAGACGAAATGGAGACTTATTAGAAGGTCGATGCAATTCAATTGGAGCTGGACTCTCACAGTTGTCACTCACTTAAACTAGATCCACAGCAAGCACAACGCTCGTGCCTTGGGTGATGCCAGCGAAGATATAATGGTGGTATTTCTGCCCGGCAACTCAGCACCCTTGTAAATCAAGCTTTATAGCAAAAGACAGTCTTGGTAATAGATTTATTCTTGGAGAGTCCCTGACTCCCAGTTCTTTACGGTTCACTCATGGCCTTTTGTTTGATGATTCATAGATGTTTCCTTATGAAGTGAAGGCGTGAAAGGAGCTTCCAGAGCTTCCATGAAGCCTATTTTCGTAAGTACAAATCGCACTATGGCTAGGTGTAATAGATTCCTAAACTAGGGGAGCAAATGGCAGACCGGAAGGTAGACATGTAACTAAAGGGTAGTAAGTTCTTCACATACCTCTCTAAATTTTAGACATCTTACTGAAACTCTGAAGCCACTGTAAAGTAGTTTGCCGTTTTACGACTTCAATTGATGCCGCACCGAGCCCTTCCTTCATTCGACGCTTTATCGTTATTAGCAGATGAACTTGAGGATGTGTTTCCGCCATACCCAGCCATCTACAAAACAGGCCACACAGCCTATAGACACTTATTGAGATACAGCCCCTTAAGCCTATCCTCCACTGAGGCTGCGCGTTAGATAATATCTAACTCTCTACCTCTCGCTAAGAGAAAAGCTTGCACCGTTGGTATTGTCCAGGGGGTTAAGGTTAAGATTCCCACCGAGCAGGGTGAGAGCTTCCATAAGGCTCTGAGGATAAGAACTTAACCGAGCTGGACTTGTCTAATGCTGAGCGATGGATGTTCTTCGCTCTGTACCAGAAACGAAAAGTGCAAGGGAAGATCGCATATGTGTTTGTAGACTGCTCGACTATCTATCGCTCTTGGTGCTTCCAGTCATCCAGACCTTTTCAAGGATTATCACCCGCCGAAATCCAACCAGCTGCGTCTAGAAGTCGAGATCCAGTCAAAGGCCCGTTTTCTTTGTCATTGAAGTAAAGTGCAGTACAATCCTTGGAATTGAATCCCAATCTTAACGACCCGTCTCACATCACCAGAAAGCTGTATCTGTACATGTAAACGATCAAGTAGAAGAACCATGACACATATTTCCTTTGTGCATCAGCTCTGGACAAAGTACCTGCCAACGGGAGCTCTCTTGTACATATTGCAGAATGAAGCAACCTCGAATACTCCCCCGGGCAGCATGTCGAGAAGAAGAGCAATAAGAAAGTTCGTTCCAACAATACTTGGAAACGAAATCCATTTTTCAAAGGTGTCACTAACAGCAATCTCCTGGCCTACAATGCTTCCCGATTCCCCTCCACCTTGCTCTAGCGCAAGGAATAGCGCTGGCAGCCTTTCATGGTTGCCAAACCCCACAACAATCACCGCCACAAAGCCCTTACGAAATCCTATGGAGTGCTTGGCTTGGCGGCTTGTAGCAAATGTCAAGCGAGGGCTCGCCGTCTGGATACGTCTATCTTTGGCTACGTTGATGCTTTTGCGCAGGTTCTCAAAGGGTTCGCGATTTGACCTTATTGGGAGTATGATACAATAATAGGGGGCTTACGAAGTAATGGCAATAAAGGCCAAGGATAACAGCTTCGGAAGGGAGAAGTAGGTAGTCTAAATACATATTTGAGAAACGCGTAGAAGACAAAAGTCAAACATTATGCAGATATTTAGTCACCAGAATTACCACCATAATTAAGAAGCGAGTGTTAGGTATTTATTATATATCGTAACACAGTGACAGTTATTGCGTGTGAAGGGAGTGATGGCGCGATATTTGTTTCACACCATTCCCGCCAAGGTCACCACGCCTCAGGAGCAGAGACTTTGTTATTTGCTCTATTTTGTAACCTTTGACATATCATCCATCGCTTCGAATTCATCCTTCTTTCAAGTTCCAGCACAATGGAACACTGTAATGGAGACGCTCCAGTCATACTCGCTGCCACTTGTCTACTCACAAGCCTTTTGCTCCAATGGCCGATCACCGTACACGCCGTCTGAACTACTGCACGCGACACTCAACCTCAATCCGCTAGATCTCTCATTCACTCAAACTAGCTGTGGTACCATGTGGTGCGAGTCGCTATTGCCTATGCCTCTGTAGGGCAGGTGCTTGCGCTACATTGGTCAGCACTAGGGGCGGCTGTGCATTGCTAAATGAGGCCAAAGGTTATTTGAAGGATTCATCAATCCTTCGTAATAGTGCTTTTCACCCAATAGTAATCAATTGACAAGGTATACTCACCACTAAGACAAGAGAGCCTAGTCGCAGGATGGAATAAGCTCAGATGACCATGCAGTCCTGGTATGAAATGCCGGTCAACTGTTGGGACGTAAAAATAAAACTACTCATCGTCCAAAGAGCGACCCAAGAGTTTTCGTATTACCTACCTATCTAGAACCATAGCTGCCATGACTTTCCCGGACACTGCTTTCGTACTTGAAGGAGGGTGTAAGTGTAAGACAGTGCGATTCCGAGTGTCGGTACCTCCCTTTGCGGAGCGAGCCCTCAGCCCGTACAAAACCCCGGGACGAGGCCTCCCCGACTCAGAGCAAGCCCGTCTCCCCATGTCTGTGGTTTGCCACTACAATGATTGCCGAGCTGCTACCTCCCAGATTACCTCCTCGGGAATGCCCACGCACGCACCAACCGTCAGCATCTCGATATCCCCTCCAGGCTGTGAAAGTGACGACACGCGATCTTGGATTCAATGGCCCTCAATGAGCTCATCATTGTCAGCGGATAAGTTTTTGCCTTAGAAGCGATATGAATCTGCGCCGAGTCGATGGGGTTACTTTTGCGGTAACTGTGGTTCCCCTGTTGGATACGAAGTTGATCCTGCGAGCATTCCGGCCGAGTTGAATTGACCACACGTTGTGCTTATCTGGACTGGAGCTCTTGACCGTGGGTTCCTCGAAAAGGACTGGGTTAAGCCTGACCACATTATGTAGACATGTCTTGGCATTCCAGTAAGTTGACTTAGACGTCTTTTGCCTACCGAATTCCATAATTGAGAGAGTACACAATAGTGGAGGGTTGCTAAGAAGGCGCTAGCCCTTTACTATAAGTCTGAATGCTGACAATCTACCTAGTGGCTGCGACGACAGTTGAAAGACGGCATGACGACTGCTCAAGACCATCCGTCCATCTTTGTGGACCAAACAATGGGAAAGGAACATGTTGAGGACCTTCTACCAGTTGTGAAGGCAGGCGGAATAAATGTAATAATCGAAAAGATTATCATATTAGAGTATTTAAGTTTTAATGCCTTATCGCTTAGCTGCCTTACTAATTCAGATATTATACATACCAAAGCCTAAGAGGGCTGTTGGCCGTAATATTCTTCGACACTCTTAGTTACATTTAGACATACTTTACTGAAAACAGTACGGTCGGGGATAAAGTAGCACTAAGGCGCTTACGCAAACTTGTTCAGCGGACCGTGCATGCATTATAAAATATATAACCTATATTATTAGCGGAGGGGGTAAGTATACTAGCTACTTACCAAAATAATACCTCGTGTTATAGAAAGTAAATAATAATAGCTAAACCACTCGGTTTAAGCCTCTTTCTAGATAGTAACTAATTATAATAAGTTCTTCCTTCTTCTTCTTCTTACATACTATTTCTTATTAGCTGGACTCCCTTACTTTATAAAAATCTATAAAGAAGTCCTGGAAATATAACTATGTATAAATTAAAACAAGTAGTATTACTAATCTTATATCTTTATTCAGTAACGGTTATAACAATCTACTTATAATGAGGCTTTTATATCTCTCTCTATTTATTCAGTACTTAGTAACCTTTGTAGGATCTAACGTTAGGCCTTATTCGGGCACAAGCCACTTACTAGTTCTCACGTCAGCCAATTTACGAGTTACCCACCGCAATCTTAAGTCCTTAGATAAGGGAGAGCATTTGAAATATATAAGAACAGATCGTTCAGCCATGATCTTTCATAGTTTTTCTCCATCTCGGTTAGAAATAGGACTCTGTATTCCAGTGTTCAAAATTATAATTCGATTAACATCCAAGAAAGCCAGAACTGCCACTATGTCTCAATTCAAGTCTCGAAATCTAAAACAGCCTGTGATCCGGCGGCTTGGGCATTTGTAGGTTAAGGCTCGGCGAGATGTTTTTCGACACTAACCGATTACTCTAGCGAGCGGTTCCAGGATTCGTTCCAGACAATGGACATATATCGTGGCACCAGCATCACTTGTCTCTACAACATACCCGAAAGCCTTCGAGATCCGTCTTCTCATGATAATCTGGTGCAAACACTGGAACTTGCCGTAGCAAATACCCTCAATCAGCATCCCCTCCTCCAAGTTGGAATCATCAACGAAAGGACCAGGCAAGCTGCTTGGAGTCGAATAGACCAGGTGAATCTGGCTGACTATATCGAATGGCGGCTTGTTGATGCACTCGACAATTACGATGATACATTACGAGAGATCACTCAGCAGCAACTGGATACGAAGTTCGAAAACCGCGCGACCCGCTTCGGATGGCGATTAGTGGCCTTGAAACTTGAAGCGCAAAACCTACTCGAAATTGTGTTCGTCTGGTGCCATGCTAATCTGGATGGGACTGGTGGCAAGATCTTCCACGAGTCTTTGTTGCACTCTTTGAACTCTGTGATGACTGGTGCTTGCCAAATCTCGCTCGAGAACCATATTTATCAGACCACAGCTTCAGCACAGAACATGTTGCCATCGCAGGAGATTCTTGCCAACTATCGTATCACTCCTAAATTCGCCCTCAATACTGTCTGGGATGAATTAAAACCCCCCATGTTCGTTTCAAAGTCCACTTATGTCTCCTGGGCGGATATAACCAAAGCTCCCTGCAAGACACAAGTCAGAAGCCTGCACGTCAATCAAATCACCCTTCAAAAGATTCTGACGGCTTGCCGAAGTCATAAGACTACACTGACAGGTCTCTTACATGGAATAACATTTGTATGCCTCGTCAGGCAATTACCAGAGAGCAAGATTGCTTCAATGATGGCCGAAACCCCGATTGACCTCAGGCGCTTCATTACGCCCCAAGATAAGGCTTCACCTACGATTGACCCTGGAAGGCTTATCGGTAATTATGTGACGCAAATGAAGCACGTTTTTGGAAAGGAACTGGTCAACAAGATCTGGAGGCTGAGTCAAACTGTCGATGAGGGGCAACAATTTACTGCCCTAGAAACGGATATGTGGGCCACGGCTGTTCGTGTACGTCAAGAGATTCAAGCTAAACTTGACTTGGGATTGAAGAACGATGCCGTTGGTCTAATGGCGGCGGTTAGTGATTGGGAGAAGTACCAGCAGGACGAATTGGCGAAGCCCAGGGTTGTCTCGTGGCTAATCACTAATGTGGGCCAGATTGATGGACTACACAAGGTTGATGAGAAATCGTGCTGGTCTATCGAGAGATGCAAGTTCTCCATTACTGCTGGAATCACTTGGCCAATGTTCAGCATTAGCGTGATCAGTGCGAAGGGTCATGACCTTTGCGTTAACATTACGTGTCAAGACGGCTTAATTGATCCTGCGATTGGGGATCGGCTTGTTGAGGGTATTAAGAAGTGGCTAGATCACATAGCGTGTAACTTGAGTATAATCTAGAGAACAAGTCTTCAAGGGTGTTGGAGACTTATAAAGTACTAGACATCGCTATAAGTGTTATTGCTTTATATAGCTAAAGGGGAAAAGGGGGAGGTGTATGTCTTAGTAGAAATTTTCCTTTCTTAGAAGTCTTATTGGTTTCCTTCTATCGGTAGCAGGGCGTCTAATGTCGGTCTGCTTGACTCTAGCAGCCCTCAATATATTAGTAACTTCTCAACCTCTCATGCCTATATCGACCGCAACCCATTTGTCGTGAATTCAATCCAGGAGTTAACGGCCCTCGTTCTACTATTATTAACCTCAAAACCAGCGTACGGAAAGATATCTGATAGTGGAGTGAAGCTCATCACGATAGACCTGGATCAAACCGATACCCAAATATCCGAATCCCTTCAAGGCTTTGATGTTGTCATCGCATCGGTCGCTCCCAACGTTTTGGAATCTCAGATCCCCCTCGCTTGAGCTGCAAAGCTCGCCAACGTGAAGCGATTTGTCCCTAGCTCCTTCGCAATGGCAATAGCTTCAAGTGGCGTTTCCTCAGTTCAGACAATGGTGATAGCCCCAGTACTTATGTGTCTCGCACATACTCGGGAGGATAGTCCTGGCTTAGCGACAGAAGGAAAAGATTTACGCGGAGCTCTCGGCCATGGAACTTCCGCATACCATCATTGATGTCGGAAGGTGGTAAACGGATTTATCCCGGAGTTGCCTTCGGGGAGAACAGATTACGCCATTGCCTTACCAGACTTCATCAAAAATATGATACCCGGAGATGGGAACATGGAAACCCATGTTGTAGACCCTGAGAGCGTCGGGACATTTATTGCCCGAATTCTGGCAGATCCTAGGACAATTAACAGAAAGGTCATGGCGTCTGAAACTACAATGTCCTTTAACGAAATGTTTGATACAGCTGAGACATTGGCCGGCGAGAAGACTAAACGGAAATATGTATGCCGCATGTTATGCTTGTGAATGGGAGGCTAACTAACTCGCCTTGCAGATTTCCGCTGATGGTCTTCGCGCTATGATAGCAGATCTGGATGCTCAAATCAGCCTTGACCCGGAGAACTACATGCTTCTAGTTGGGAGGTTCTGGCTGGAGTATTACCTCTCCTCCTTCATTAATGGCGAGAATAGCCCTGATGGTGTATTGGCCATGGATTATCTCTTAGCTACAGAGCTATATCCGGATGTGCAGACAACCACTTTTGAACAATTCTTTACAGACGTTCTTGAGAAGAAGAAACGAGTTCCTTATTCAGACAGACTGGTCTGAAGACATAACTACTCAAACCACCAAATCTTGATGCAAGTAATATGATTTCGCTTGATCTGAACCAATTGCTTTTTATTACAAGAGCATTACTTCTGTCTTGGTACCTAATAAGAGTAGGGTAGAGATTTTGTAATGCATAAAAATAGTTTCCAACGCACAATCTAACAGCTAGGCAATCAATATACAAATGACAGAGGGTTGTAGGACAAACAAGCAGACAATAAATACGATCCCTGATCAGTGAGTTACTTATCACCTTTTGATACATATCCACTTTCCGTCTCGAGATAGGTTGCAAAGTCCACCATACCCGGATGACTCTCCCTCAGCTCCTGGACACTAGCACCAAAGCCCTCTTCCACCATCCACTGGAACATTGCAACGATACCCTTTAAAAGGAAGAGAACAATGGAAGCGACGAAACCGAAAGTAAGGGGTATTCTCTGACCAGTCGCTTTCTCGAATATCTTGGCAGCTTGATCGAATGTCAACTCATCGACAGCTAGCGAAATAGCCTGACCTTTGTACCGTTGTGGGTCCATAAATGCCTGTGCCGCGAAGTATCCTATATCAGAAACAGCAATGAGTTGTAGCGGCTTGTCTTTAAGGGCGATCTTCCAGCACGTCAAGAACATCTTGGATTGAAATCCCGGTTTGTAGTTATCCATGAAACCAGTTGGCCGGAGGAAAGTATAGTTCATGTTCGCCATTGGGGCTTTTTCGGCCAGGTAGTATTCAATGTCATATTTACTGGCGAAGTGTGGGACAGGTGTACGGTTGTTGAACGACCTTTCGCCACCACGGTCAACAGAGCCGTAGACGAAGAAGCTCACTTTATGTTTCATACATTCGTCGATGAATTTCTTTGCTTGTTGCAACTCTTGCTCCAGGGTATGATTGCTGGCGAATGGATTCTAGACTTCGTTTAGCAAAGACCAAAGGCTTGCTTCGGCACTATGCACAAACCTGTACAAAATAGACCCCCCATACTGGCTCAGACTCGACCAGCCTGGTGTTCTCGAACAGCGAGGCGGGATGTTCGAGATCTCCCTGCACCACCTTAATCTTGGACGACTTCTGTGTGAGCTTCTGGGACAATGGAGATGCAGCATTGAGCGTGACGGCGAGAATGGTGAAGTCAGCCTCAAGTTGCAGGAGATTGTTAATGACTGCGCCGCCCTGATTTCCAGTTGCCCCTACTACTAGAATAGATCTAGGCATTATGGTTTTCGAAGAATGTTGGAATATTGTGAAGATTGGGAGTACAGATCTAAAAGTATCAGACTAAGGCGAGTGGTCCAATAATCTTGTCACTGAAGATGGTGAAGCAGAAGGTATAGATAGGTGATATGTTACCGGGAAAGGCGCATGGAAGCAGAACTTATATCTTAAGTATATCGAATAAGTATGATCCGAAGAATACCGAAGTTAAGTCTTGACTAAATTGGGCCGTATATAGACATGCCGGGGATTGTCGGCCGAGACGGTAGTTAAGTCCCTATTGTTGGGGGTGGATTTAACGGCCGAGAAGTTGTGGGGACAAGACCACCGAAAATATAATAGCGTATAGACTCGGAGATTAGTGTACGACAAAGGTTATAATAACACCGATATTTCAAGTATAAATATTCATTCAAGACTCACAACACTCCTGGATTTATATCTTCAACTTGTACTGGGCGCTTCTTTCAATAGTACTATACCACGAGACCTACCATCACACCAGAAACACACTGGAAAGATAGCTCGAAGAAAGGTCGTACTTGTGACCGGTGCCAACACTGGTCTCGGATTTCAGATTGTCAAAGCCATATGTGGCTCCGAGGGATCTTATGGAGTCCTTCTTGGAGGCAGATCGATCCGCAAAGCCGAAGAAGCAGTCAAAAATCTGAAGGAAGAGTTCCCTCAAGCCAGTATTCACCCGATCCAGGTTGACGTTGAGGACGATACATCGATAAACTCGGCATTTGAGTATGTGAAGGCCAAGTTTGGAAAGCTCGACGCGCTCATCAACAACGCTGGTTATTAAAACCCCTCCAAGCTTAAGATTATGAGATTCAGGCAACTAACTGACCATCAAAGGCTCCCAGCTTGATCAGCAAGTACTTGCTGGTAAGATGGCGACCAGAGAGATGTGGAACAAAACGTACAGTGTCACTGGAGCCCATATCATGACATGGACATTCGCTCCATTACTACTCTAATCCAACGACCCTCGTCTTATCTTCATCGCTAGCGGTACATCCTCCCTTACCACGTCCGAAAACCCCGACTTTTTCTTCAACAAAGGACCGTCCAAGGGTTGGCCCAAGACTTTGACCACCGTTGATGTGCCTGCATACCGAAGCAGTAAGACAGGTATGAATATGATGATGAGGTATCTCACTTCCACTCCTTCTAGTCAAGTTTGCCTATCATAGTCCCAGAACTCTATCTAACCTGAGAACCTAGGGAATGGAATAGAATACTTGGTGAAGATGTCATCAGGGTATGGGCTATCAGCCCTGGCTATCTGGCCACTGGCCTCGGTCTCGGCTCAGAGACGAATCAAAAACAAGGCGCCATTGACCCTGCGATTGGTGCCGCGCTTGTTAAAGATGTTTTGGAGGGGGCGAGGGATGGTGATGTAGGTAAAGTTATTCTCAAACAGGGAGTCCAGCCATGGTAAAATTGATCGAACTGGCTGTATTGGCATGATAAACGATCAAAAGCCAGCATTTGAATGAATGTTTCTTCCTGTGTCTTTATTTGCCTACTTCAAGTTTTTAAAGTCGATTCCGGGCTGGTTTATAGCCCGTTAGAACCGTTGAGGAAATCATCCAAATAATCCCAATTGGTATCATTCGATCCATCTTCCTCATTTAGATTCCAGCACCAACCGTGGCCCCCAGATTGTGGTATTTTTTCAGTATTGATAGACGGTGCAGAACATAAAACATCCATTGATGTGATGTCTCCGTCGCTGTGTTGCCTCCGGAGCTGATAAATAGTGGAGTTGACAACGGATAGGGCCTTCGAACGGCTTTTTGCACCATCAGCTGCTCGCTCAGCTTCAATCACAGTTCTGGCTGTCTCCAATATCTCCAATGTACCAGACCTATCAATCTCCAGTTCTTGCGTGCCCTGACTTATTGTATAAACCACTAGACATAGAGTAGTGATACCGAGTAGGAAGTCATGCCAAGTGATACTCTTCAGGAGCCACTCCTCGGTTTCCAGCTGACCTCCAGGTTTGCACTCCTCATATACATGCAAGAGCTCGGTAACAAGAGCGAATGATGCGGTATAGCCCTCTTGCTTGCTTTTGGCTCGTGGTTTGGTTACATGTGGGCGGTGTAGTACGCAGAGGCACTTGTAGTATACAAAAGAGATGCAAAGACGCGCAGCGAGGAGTTGCGGAGGATCAATGACAGAATCTGCGATTGACCTAGGCCGATATAGCTCCGGCAGAGATTTGTATAAGTCTTTGAGTTCGCCGTCCAAAGAATCGATATGAGCGTCTGTTGCCTCATGTATACGAGGCATCGAGACATGTTGGAGAATTTTGTCGAATACAGTCATGAATTTGAGCTTTAGAATAGAAAATGTCACTCCCGTCAACTCAGTATCAGGCCGGGAGGGAGGCAGTCGAGCGCTATCTTCGTCAAAATCGGAATCGAGAAGATTGCTTGGAGGCTTTATGTCCGACACTGATGAAGGGATTCTACCAGGAAGATCCAGGTGAAATGAGACCAGGAGATCTAATTGGATAAGAACAGACCAAGTTCTACGACGCATCTCCTTTTCAACAGGGCTTAGGCCCTGGCCATTGCTCTCCCGGTGGTAACCTGAGACGGTGGCAATGTGGCCAAGGATGCTAAGGACAGACCCCATATCTGGAGAGATTTCCAGACAAGTGATAAACTGTAATTGACCATAGAGCAGGAGTGCTTCAAGTGAGTAATGCTTGGGGCGGAAATACTCGTCCGGCGCGAGACATTGGGCGGCAGCAACTGTTAATCCACTCGCGGGGGTGTCGGTGTCTCTACCCGTTCGGGAAGCGTTCGCGGCCATGTAAAGTATCGAAAAGACCATAAAAATCCAGATAGGTAACGCTGAACTCAGGTCTTTCCAAAATGCATCGTACTGCCTTCGGAATTGTAATGGATGTATGAAAGGAGTAACATACAACCGGACTCGGAAGTATATGGAAACCAGGCGATCTGTGACCTTTTGGGAGGGGAGATGGGTATTGAGAACTTCTTCAACAGTGAGACCGTAGGAGATATTGGCTCCAAACAATACCCCTATTCCGGCTCCGGACTCCACTTGAGGGACGACATGAGCTTCGGCATCTGTGTTCCAAAAAGTTGAGCGTAGATCTGAGAACCTGGATATCGTCAAGCATTGCTGACCAGTGCGTCGTGCCGTTAAAATTCTGGTAGCAGGTATCTGGAGGAAACAGGGATGGCGTGTCTATATGTTCCGTAAAGCTCGGATTTTGTGACAAAGTGGCAGCTGTTGTCACATCTTGTACTGCGCTCGAAGTGCTTGTTCGCCGTCCCGACAAGACGCTCCAAGTTCTCAAGACGTGCTTGGGCCTGAACTTGGCGCTCATAATTCTGCGATGAATTACCAGTAGATAATTCGTACGAGCAGGATGCGGGATCCCTCCTGAGAATGCAGCTGCCACAGGGGCTCTCCCTATCACATCTGAGCTTCCGCTGTCGGCATGCTGCGCAAGCTAAACGCTCTCTGTGTTTTCGAAGCCTTCAGGTGGACCTCATGGTCCAAAATGAGTTAGGTCTTTCTAGGCGCAGTAGGCTAATTATCGTAGATCTGTCTGTCTTTGTCGCGTATGCGCCAAGCTGAAATTGTCACAACATTGGCACGTTAAGGCGCGTCTTCCTCAACGGTCAATCCATAGTTAGCTTAGCGCTTATTTTCCTGTCTTTAAAATCTCAAAGCTTATGGGACGAGCCAATGAAAGGATACTTGGAGAATGGAACGCTAGCGAGTACAAGGAACAATACCAAGTGCACTGCCTTAATCAAGTACATGCCATCTGGCACTGACGTAATTGGAATCTGCAGACCTTCAAGACTTTGAAGAGATCAGCTCCCCTATTTCTTGGTCTATTAAAGTCAAAAACACAAATCGTCATAGCATCGAATGAACACTGAAGACTGCAAGTAATAATTGGACTTATGGGTTATATCGTTCTTTTTTGAAGATGTGATATGTATCAAAGCTCTTTCAACACTCCGCAAGCCGCGATTAGGAAAGTCCCAACTCGAGAATTACCAATTAGAGTCTCTGTAGACAAATAAATCGATGATCCGTAAAAAGCGTCAGTTTTGACATTTTTGCATCATTAAGGTTCTAAAATGGATGAGGAGTGTAGGGATTCTCGGATCTCTCTGCCATTTAGAAAATTAACCAATTAACGGCTTGAAATATGCTGATTAGAACAGTATTGCTAGGTATCATCCGCCGCGTAGATTCCTCGTTCTGGTAGTACATAGAAGCGAGGTATTGGCCCGCATTTTAGTCGTTAGACATACGCAACTAGAACAGATTCATATTGTCCCAGTATTTAATGACCATCATATATAGACTAATGGATGCCTTGGGTAATTGCGGTTCTATTACTTTCTCAGCCCCGACGGCCTTCTATTAGTCCTGGCTATTATGGACTTCAAACAGAGAAGAACCGGGGCATAGCGTAATAAATCTCGTCTAAACCCAGTTTTCAAGAAATTTAACTACCTTCGTACTCATTTGATAGCCGCTGTACTGGAGTGGGTCCCAGTCATAATAGCCACTACTGTACGCAGGCCTCTCTGCTAATCCTCTACAAAGGAATGCGTGACTCCGGTTAATAATAGCTCTGGCCAGAATATAGGAGGTAATGTAACAAAACTAACTCGTTAAGCCGTAGCTTTGGCTTGGTTGTGAGCTATCTTCGACAGCAAGGACTTTTATATGCCCACTATATAAATAGTAACCAATCCCTATTGTGGTAACTAATATACTATAATCACCTCCGAAGCTATACTTGAGGTTCGGTGGCTTGGAATCGGCACGAGTGCAGCCAATATGTTCGGAAAGAACCCCTTTATTGCTGGTGAGGATGGTATCGTTTGCGCAACTACTGAATGTACCTTGATAGAATGTCTCTTCTCCCGAGGCAACAGGCAATCTCTTTAACCAAGACAAGTCCTGGGGCGGTGAAAATGCTCATCAGGATTGCCTTTATTCACCACTAACTCCAAGGCTACCATTTCGGTCAGCTTGTCGCTTTCGCCAAACTATTCACGGTAGCTTGGTATTACGCGGAGTTGACTCTGCAAAGCCGCATTCTATTCATCTTCGAGATTGCCAAAGTTGGAAGTTTGTCCTCTATTTCGACATGCACGGGTATAATCGTGTCGCTTTGGCTTCTGTCTCTCCTACTGACTACAATTATTGACTAGCGCCACGCCCATCTGATGCTGGAGGTCTTTCAGCCTGTGTGGCATAAGGGCATTGAGACTATATCTGGACACTATGGGATCAGTAATTTGCCGAAAAGACAAACGGGAGTGTTGTCCGCTCTTGGCAACATCATCACATCTAACATTCTAGCAGAAGGTAAGTGGGAGGCTCAGGAATCTCATCACCTTGTGCACACTCCGTATTCTCAACGTTTGATGTCACTTCCCTGTACTTGTCGTTGCTAGCATCGCAAGCTTGAGAAATACGCTTCCGGGCCTCCTCCACGTCTTGAGGCTGCCACATTGCGTCTATCCTTTCCTGGCTCATCGCGCCGGTCTTGTGCAGCGGTGTCTACATAGTAGAGGATCTCATCAAGCCGGGGCTTTCCAAATTTCTGAAGGATATCCTATACAAACTGGAAGATACCAGAATGCATATTTCCAGATCATGCGTCGTACGCACAACAAGAACGGTAAACATTCCCGATGCCATCAAATCAAGATGAGCTTTCTTTATCGCACTAACGATTAAGCTCCGCTGACTCCGTCGAGCGTTTATTTAGACTATTTGTAGTCTTCAACTATGCTCTGGCATAACTTTGGCTTACACTGTTAAGTATGGGAATGGCTGTGTAGGGTGATGTGGCGTGGACGTTACTCATACGCTTGGGTTGCGGGGCGAACCGATGAAGACGACATGGTGGCGGTAAAGGAAGTAATGTGTAAAAACAGGGAATGTGATGTAAGATCAGATCAGTGCGTTGTTCGTAATGGAAAAGACATTGTTTGATGGAATGCGGGATGAGTCTGAGAACATTTCGAAATGTGTCGGGGTGAAAGCGATGATGTCAATGAAACCACGGGCAAACGCAAATAGACTTCAGGAATATTACTTGAGATCTTTAGCTGTACACCAAAGGTCGGTAGGGTGCCAACTGTGAAAGAAAGATAGTTTGTTACAGATGACATAAGAAAGAAGCCGCCAAATTATGCGAGATTGGTGAGCCTGGCTCTGGCATTGGCGTGCATGGGGAAGTATACGGATTTAGTGTTTAGTTTCGTGTAGGGTAGTACGCCGAGGGATGTGTTTTGTGAACCGTTTACAACCTCTCATCTATTCAAAGACGATATCGGGGTTCTAAAAATGGTTGGAGAGAAGAAACCAACTTCAGAAGGTTGTGGCCACGGGATTCCTGCAGCTTGGTGTTCATCCCACACCTGCATGGTGGCTTATAAGGAAAAAATAGACAAACGGGGTCGTGCTGGTTGTCCTTTAGCGCGTGTCCTGGTAGTTGTCAGATGCCCACGCATCATGGCGATTAATTTCGACTACGATTACGAAAGTCTACTTATGGGTTTGGATTCTAATTAAACCTCCATTATCTAACTCCTCATTGAATTCTCTCATTCGAGTAAAATTGACTATTAGTGTCCTCTGTGTTCCCGAGCACGGCGTCAAAGAGTGTTGCGTTCCGTGTCATCATCTGTGTAACAAACCAAGAAGTTGCTGAACCTTTCAGCCTTGTCTCACAATACACATTCATTTAACTGCCCCTCATCTCTTTTGTTCTAGAGCGTCTTCGCCTCATTCAGTTAGAGTCATCATTCTTAGACTGGACGAGTTACATAGCATACTAGTACTGTCAACCCGGTTTCTATTTTGACCGTGCGTTTGCATGAGACTTTTGACATTTGATGGTTGGCAGCGCATATTGATTGGACAACCTTTCAGGGCTACTCTCTAGTACGAGACGCGGGAAAGATCGAAAATCTAAGCTGATCAAGTTTGAAGATGTTGATGCACTAATACTAAACCTCAATTTTCAAAATGGTCGGTTCCAAAGCGTAACACGATCACAAATCAATAGCTAAGCTTTACAAGAGCATGCAAAGTAATTGAAAATATTCCGTTCTAATCAGACAACACCGGAATCGGTTGAGAAAGGGACATCTAATTAGTTTTTAGGTTTTGCTAGACAGCTACCTAACTTCAGCACTGACACGCCTCAGCCAACGGGCACCATCTAAACGAAGCTCAGGACGTGGCGCCGCTCTGTGGTACAGATCGGTGCTGTCGCCTACAGTCACGGGAGGGAGTAGGCGAAAGTAGTAGAGAACTAAGGGTTTCGAGCCGGACCAATGGAGCTCTAGTTCTTGCCAGTATCGTCCCCAGATCGTGAATAAGTTTATTTCGAATACTTATCGTTGCGGTGCACATCTTTGCCGAGAAGCTCGGAATCTTTTACTGTGCAAAAACAGGCCTGGTGGGTCAGGGACACTGCGAAAGATTTATGATACTCTCTTTATTGTCGAGCGGCTGCGTTGCCGCGATGGAGAAACTAGGGATTGTGGTTGTAACTGTCTACCAATTAGCAGTTGGCCTTACCGAGCAGCATCTTTCATTGTCAGATGCCCAAAGGTACACAATACGTACTGGCGCTCCAAAACGCATTGGAGTCTTAGTGGGCATTTAAGCTAGATAGCGTTAGAGAGAAATGTGCGGTATTTGAGCAAGCTTAATGGGTTTGTGAAATTGTCTGAAGGTACTCTGCCGTTCGCTACGTTTTGGCTTTGTCGGCTTCCTTCTACTGACTCCAGACAGATCTGCTAGTATCTGAGAATTGATTCTCTTCAGAACAATGTCGGCAGACTTGTCAAAGACATAGTTCATATGTCTTTCAAGGTCGCAGAGGTTTAAGGTAGAACGTTCTTGATGAATTTGTCAAACAGTCGCTGAGTGACATACTGCCTTTTACAGACATGTCCAGGTTTCAAGGATCGATGCATGTTACTGTGGCTACTGGGAGTCACTGGCTTGTAATGGAGATCAGCATACCAGTAAGCCAGCTGATGCTCCAGTGTGGGCTTCCAATCTTCAGGTGGGATGTCAAGCCGACTGATCAAATACATGAATAGTAAGAAGCAAAAGTCATTCCGGAAAGCTTGTAAGGTCCCACACATGAAAGAGAAGTAGTTCATGGAATTTGGAAACCTCTGTATGAAGTTTATGTGACGCTCTAATAGTCTGGCTTCAAACGATTTCTTGCGGTAAGGATTCCGTGAAATTTAAAGTATTATGATTCCAATACTTGTATGTACTTAGCAATCTCCTATGGTTACCATATGAAAACGGCGGCATGGA